AAAAATCAGGTTGCATCCATGCAGTCATTGATGTTCACCTGCACCATTTTACCCCACATATCTTTTGCAGTTACACAGTTTCCTTCATTCAGGCCAAAGCAAGGCAAAACTGTTACGTTCACATTCTGAGTTTCACATGCAGCAATTGCATAAGTCACAGGAGGGTTGTCTTTTGCAGTCCTGCAAACGATCTATGTCACTGAAAAAATAATGCCACATATTGACCTAAAGTAATCAAATTTGCACCCTTCAAGAACATCATGCACAAATATGGTCGATAGCTATGCTCTAGTAGAAAGGGCCAGGAATCCTTTAAATGGAATGAACCCGTTGTGTCCATACAAACAACAACAATTAACCAGATTGCATGGGAAGAAAAAAATTAACAACCAAACTCATTACTCCAATGAAAACTCACAAATCCTAGATAGTTTGCATGTCTCGACCGAGTGATGATATTTCTCCACACAGAACTTTTAATCTTTATAATTGTAAAGACTAGATAGAGTTAATATCTAGAAACCATTTTCGAGCACGAGAAAGGACTTTCTTAGTAGAGGCCACTCAACATATCAGACTAATTTTTAATATCAAGTGCTTACTTTTTAGCACGATGAACACATAGGAAAAAAGACCAGATACATAACACTACAAAAAAAATTAAGTACCTCATAGCACTACGGTAATACAACACAGCAGTATCCAAGAATAACACATGAAATTAAATAGCACAAGCACAGAGAATGGCGATGGAGAGATCAGATGAAACAGAATTCAGCGCATAAAAAGAACAGGACAACTATTTCCAGGGGTCAATTAATCGAGCATGACCAATTTGAAACTTATGAACTACACAGCCAATCCAACGTTGAATGAGGCCATGCGATTAGGTTGAAGTCCATATGGCACATTTATGCTAGATTTTCGACTATTAAAATAATCAAACAACATGCCAACATACTTTTATCAAGCTAAGAATATATTTGAATATTCCAGATAAATTCTTGAAATTTACTTCCATGAGGAAAGAATCATTCGTAGGCTCAAGTTTACATTTGCCAGGCCCATAAAACGAGATTTAGAAAAAAAACATGCAAACCAACCGTCATATTTTACTAGAAAGAATTGATGACTTGCTTGTGATGTAGCAGGACTCCTGATACTCCATCTTCACCACTACAAAAAAGTTGAAAGAGCAGGCGAAGGAAAAAACAAATGTTATGATAAAATCAAGTTCTAATGTAAGAAGATAAAACACCAGACTGTACAATATACTCACATAAACGGTTCGTTTACGTGTTCTCCTGATAAATGTGAGACACCTCCAATAGAATTCTGCAACAAATAAAAAGACTGCTGACTGAGTATTTATGCTCAGTTGCATATTATTACTACATTTATTATAATTGTCACCAGAAAAGACTCACCGCCCAAGTAAAAAGCAGGCTGACCTTTGCTCTATCTTTGCCAGTATTCACCAACTACAGAAAAAAATAAACTATAATATCAAGAAATGGCTAGTCATATTCCACAATGGTTATTTTGACAGTCAACAAACTAATTCTGGGTGACATTGGAGATGCAAACAGCAGTTTCTCACAGTGAATTGTCATCACAAAAATTCTGCACTAATTTTAGTATAGAACTGAGGTCAAGCTGGCATCAATAAAATCACGAAGGTTAATCGGAAAGGCAGGTTTAGAAAAGACATGTGTCACAAATAATGCTCCACTCCTATTCAGGAAACACCAATGTGATATTATTCCTACAGTTCAAGTAGTTGTACCATCACTGTTGCGTTACTTGTGCAAGAGCTAAAGATATTAAAAATATAAAAAAGGACGCTCTTTCCCATTAATCCAAGCTAAATTTAAATATATATATATATATATAGAGAGAGAGAGAGAGAGAGAGAGACAGGGGGAAAGAGAGATGAAGAGTTAACTCAGCAGGACGAAAATGAAGAACAACTAAGAAAAGAGCATGCAATGACACCAGATCTACATACAGTGTAAACAAATACAGCAGTAGGAAGACTGCTTTCTCGGTAATTATGTGGTATAAATGGAGATATCTGTCGACAAGAGATCTTCAATTCTGGGTCTGGTTCACCTGTACAAATAAAAAAGCTATAAGGGACATTGTCCATCGAAAACCCTAATAAGAATAACAGTTTTAACAGCTATTACCATCATATATTGTCCATGCCCGTGGAAATAGAGCATGATATGTGGAATGTTGACCAGTCAAATTCCATCCCCATGATGATATACCATGATCACTGGACTTCCTGTCGAAAAGATGACAATCAGATAAAGACAATTAATTTTCAATTATTAGTGTCACAAATTAGTAAGTCAGAAGAAAACAGATGAAATGTTGATTCTCAGAAAATATGAAGCTTCAAGTGTATATACTTAAGCTGTTATCTTTCGTTATATTCTTAATAGTGCTTGTCACTAGTTATTAGTTCAAGTACATGTAAATGCATCTTATTTAGCATTAGTGAAAAAATCTATATGATCCAAGACTCAGTTCATTCCTTTCTCCCTAAACATCATCATAGGAAGGACGGGAGAAGAGGGAAGACAATAATAGAATACACCAAAAAATAATTACATTGCACCCTAAGGTCACCAACAGGTTAAAAGCAACCCAAAACTTCATACGTGTATAATATGCTAGAAGTTCAGGAAAGAATTGAACTGTGTAGGTCCATACCCTACACCTTCATGCTGGCCTGGAGCTAGAACGGAGGCATATTTTTTGCTTCCCCCTTCTCGGGATATGAAAATCTGCAAAACTCAAAAAGGTTAGGACAACAAATGTAATAAGGCACTGTAAACACAGGCATGTTCATATTTTACATCGCTTTTCTCCATATAAATTTGATAAATGGGCATGGGCAGAACTCATCCCAAAAAGCTAACTCAAAGGGGGAGAGTGCCCAACCCACACTTATACACAATAACAACCCAATAACTAATCAACGTAGGACAAACATAACTTCTAACAAAATAAATTGAATCGTAAGTATTAATATTTTGGGGCATTTGTTACTTCACAGTTTTTTTCAGATATGTGGCAGCAAATACTAAAACCAACCTGATTTACTCTCGCAAAACGGTGTTAAAATGATACATTCAATTATCTTCAAAAATACAATTATACTTGTTGGAAGACCAACTCATAATTAGTTGTCAGGAGATTTGTTCCGGTGACATCAATCAAAAATATAACTTGCAACTCTGTTAGTTTGAACTATTGGAGGACTGAACACTTAGCTCTGCTTCACCAATATTTATCAGGCTGCTTTACGAGAAAAGTTTTCTCATTGATTTCCATACTAGGGTCCAGACTGATATTCAGACGTCAAACAACATTACATACAATTCTCTTTTACTGTTTACAGTTACTAATATAAACTGAATTGCTAATGAAAAAATGTGCGCAAGATTTCAAAATTAGACATTTCGAGAGCAAAATGCTTTTACTTATACGCACGATTATCACATACTATCTTGGTGTGTATTTTGGAATGACGCTGTCATAGAATCTTTGATTTTATGCATCTTAATATGCTGTTAGGATTAAGATAAAGAGCAGTGACACTCCTCTCCTCAATGTATCACCCAGAAAGGAGTTCGGACAAAGAATTGGAAAACAAAGAATTCATCCATAACATTTGTGGGAGGATCGACAAACATTAGATATCATGGCCGTATTTTCATAAATTTTACCAGATATAAAGAGTAAAGCAAGGCATTAATCCTGGGAGTTCACCATTCGAAAACCATCCAAGTCAATTCTTGATGCATTGGAATCAAACTAGAATGATTTCCACTGCTACAGAGTGACAGTATTCAAATAGGTCTTTAACCTTTCATTTCAGGTTGCAAAACTTACTGTGTGGTTTATCTAGCTGTTCTGTATCATATTTTTAGATAATAAATTCTACACTAAATTACTACAAGATACCAGAATTGATGCACAAACAGAAGATTAGTTCATTAATCAATTTGAAATAACTTATTATTACAAGTGTAGTTTCTCCAGAAATCTTGGGCAGGCAAAATCTCAAAAAGAAATATGTGAAGAAAAGAAAGAAAGAAAAACAGAAAAGCAAGAAAAATTATCGACTGACAGAACTGATTAAATTCTGCTTGATTAGCAACATAACCCTTTTAACCCGAACTGCAGTCCGATGAACATTGTTTCACCAAATGAACAACTTACATTGGCAAATAATAAATGCAAAAGATCTCTAAGAATTCAGCTGAAAAAAGCATGCAGCATAAATGATAAGTTCAAGAGAAGGGTTTACTGAGAATTGGTTGGCCATCATTGGAGAAGTCTCACATGTACCAGGAAGTATTTGAAAATGCCTAAACTCCCCTCTGAAACCTCTAGATATGCTACCACTCCTGTAATGCATAACACGTAGAACGATCAATTATAACACCAATGGAGGTACACAAACTTCATCATATTGAATGCTACTTACCCCATCCCACCTAGCGGGACCCCTTGCGATGCCGAAGGTTTGCAACTTTCCCGAGTAAATGGATTTATAGGTGCTTTCTGTACAAGGAGAGAAAATAGAATAAAGCAAGAGCTGCTCAATATCCCAACATGTACAATAATTCTCTTTTTTATGTTCTTTTTACATTGAAAAAAAAAATTAAGTTAATAAGTTATGTAACACAATGTTGGAAAGAAATGGCAAAATCATACCCTTCCATAGGATGCCTCTTCACGCACGTAATGCCAGAGGCGTATTCCCAGTGAAATCTATAATCATCAACAAGTGAAGTCACAAAACATACTACTTTTATTGGCGGGTGCCATGAGAGTACTAATTTACCATTTTTATGGCTTCTGTGAATGTAATACTGAATTCTTTAAGAATGCTAGCATGGCTATTTAGTTTCCGTCTCAATGCTTGCTCAGGGGGGGCTGCACTGTCGAAATCTAACTGTTGACAGGAATAAAATGGGCGGATAATATCAGTAAATGTTCAGAGCATTGAGAATGGGCACAATCATGATAAACTGTGTGAAAAATGATCACTCCGTTCCGCTACTTAATCAATGTTCAACACAAGTACAAAAAAGTGAAGAGACAAAAATCGATTTTTTTTTTTTTTTTATGCATTTGCATTCAAGATGTTATGTTTGTTTTAAATGATAACAACAAAAATCAACACCAAGTAATTCTAGCCAAATGTTAATCTCTCCACTCATTTTATTCTTCCATGATAGGGTACAATTTTATCTCTGTTGGTTCTAATTTCCATTAAAAGCCTATACTAGAATTTCAAAACAACCCCAGCAGCATAATTTTATCTCTGTTGGTTCTAATTTCCATTAAAAGCCTATACTAGAATTTCAAAACAACCCCAGCAGCATACTACTGGCTATCAAATTACATAAGTTTCTTGATGGGCTCTGTCTTATCTCATACAAAACTTCACCACACCGTAATCTATCACAAAATTCGAAATAAACCAAAAAAAATAATAACTGGCAGAGAATTCGCCTCATAGCATTTGTTACAGCTCGAATTTTCTACTACAAGAATCTAAATAAAAATTGAACAAATTAAGCCAAAAAAATGAATCAACTTTTTTTAAAAAAAAAAAGTTAAAAAAAATCGTAAATTATTATAGGTAAGCAAAAGGGAACCAGAGGGAAAAAGAACCCAAAATAAAACCTTACCAACTGTAAAGTCGTCCGATTGATGTACTCTTCGGGAGGCCATGAATTTTTTCTATTATGAAACAAATTCCCGCTCACCATTCTCACTTTTCCCAATTACTCAATCTGTATGAATATTTATTTGTCTACCTTTGGAATCTCAATTCACAGTTGTGCAGATGACGGAAAATCAATCCCGCAGTTGAAGAAGAAAAAGAACTCCAAAAACAAACTTCGCTTCAAAAACTACCAAAAAAAAAAACAATCTTTAAAGTTACCCACTTTTTAGTCTGCCTCTAAACGCTGAAGTAACATAAGAAATCGCTCAAATCTTTCCTCAAAAGTTTCGACCCCTCACAATGAGTGAGTGCTTATAAAAATCTCAAGAAAAGGGCGATTGAAGATCGGAAAACCAGGAATTATGTGGATTTGTCACTTCAAAAAAAAAAAAAATGGGTTTTTGAAAATTTTTATTAAGGATTTTGAGGCAGAGAAAATATAATTAAGAGAAAAGGAAGTTAATAAATAATGGTGGGCAAAGGCGCAAAGGTAAAGAGAGGAGTCAGCACGTGGAAAAATGAGAGCCAGGTGGGGCTTACATATATGACTAATAATAACAATAAAGTAGTAGTAAAAGATTTCTAGAGAGATGGAATTCTTAAAAAATTTCAAAGAATCAACACGAATAATAATAATAAATAAATTTTAGTATTGTGAAATGTTGTTGATTGCTGGTAATAGTTGAATGGTTGCAGCAGACTTCCATTGTTCTGTTTTTGAAAATGTTGCAAAAGGAAGCCGACTTGTTTGTTTAACACACACAAGGAAGAGGATTAATACTGGTTCCCCAATTCTCCTCTTAGTGACTCAAACTCGAGATATATATATATATATACGTCGAGCGAGATATGCGCCACTGCACTAAACCCTCTTCGTCAAGATGCTTCCTCCTTGTCCCCCTGCATTGCCTTACCCTTGAGACGGACTACACCATCAGATGAGATAAGGGCACTGACTTGTTAATTTTAAGTGCATGACTTTTGCATTGAAATCACCACTGTTTTTATAATAGAAAATTGCTAGTGAGTAAAGAAAAAATGTTCATCGAAGAAAAAGAAGGAAAAAAATAAGAGAGAGAAAGATCGTCTTCTTTAGAGCATATTGGCATTGGAGTAGGAAGATGAAGGTTCGGTCTATGTCACCAGTAAGGCTAGCATCCATACTCGTTGGATGTTTGTCACATACCTAAATGGGTTGTTAAAATAGTGACCCGATTTTTTGGCCATTTCCTAAAACGAAAAATGATCAATTACCATATTAGGAATAGAATGAAATATAGTCATTTAAGGGGTAAAATGACAACTTTATCCTTATTAACTTTACCTAATTACCAACTACTCACCACCATCAACATTGATTAATCTTCCCAACAAAACCATTCTCTTCTAAGAAAATGAGCTCGATCCCTCCATGAAAAATTTTACTTCCTAAATTTCATTTCACTTTCAAAAATTTGTCCTCTTCAAAAATTCATATCCATCAACACGAATAGAATTTGGTCTCTTTTAAAAGAAATGCACATAATTTGGCTCTTATAAAAAATTCGGTCCCTTCAAATTTTTATTTTTTCAATTTCCAAAGCAAGTCATATTTTTTTGAAGAAATTTGTGATTTCAGCTCCAATTAAGTTTTATTTAAAGGTTATTTAAATTTTTTGAAGAACTTTTAGGAAGTGATTTTGTTCGCAAACCTATTTTTGCTTGCAAATCTATTTTTTGTACTATATAAATTTATGGATTCTAGAAATCATTATTGAAAAACATTTAATTTTATTAAAAAAAAATATGGGTCCTAGAAACAGTTTCTTGAAGTCATACAATTTGTTCCTGGAACCATTTATGAGAATTAAGCTTCCAGAAACCATTTATGGGAAAAAAAAAAGGGTTTTAGATATCATCTCTTTCTTCTTTTTTTTTTCCCGAAACAATAGAGACATTATATAACTAAAAACTGCACAAAGTGCAAAGAGTAACAGCCAAAAATAGAAAAGTACAACCAAAAGCTGAAAAGACTGGTAGGACAGATCCGAAGATCGCCTAGAATCTGCCCAGCAACGCTAGAATAACAAACGCGCAACAACACAAACAAAACTAAAAAAGACTACTAAAAAATATCCCAACAGGATAATGGCCGAGTGTACGATTTTAACAGAATAATATGCTCATACTCGGGTTCACAGAGGTCAACGACCTAAATTAAAAACAGAAATTCTAACCAAACAACAAACTAAAGCCATATAAAAATAAAACTAAACGAAAAGGGAGCCCTTTCACAGCAGATCAACCGAGCCAATCCAGCAGAGCAACAGTCGACTCGAAGGAAAAATCTGAATTCCAGAGAACCGCTTCCGAAATCGAAACTGTCGAACCGCCTTTACAGAAGTCGAATCCAAACACCGAACGACCCGCCTCCAACAGGAGAAACAACAAGCCGGCTCCCCACTTCAGCACCACGCGAACACATCTAACACCACTAGTCGAGTCCAAAAGCACCAGATCCCCCGCCGTCCCCAACACCAGAGAATTGGAGGGGTGAGAGAGGCTCGGTTCCTCACTCCAACCGCCCCGACGCGAAAACACCACAGTCGCCGGAGCCACACCCTACCCACTGATCCACACACCGCCCAACACCACCGCATACCCGTCGGCGACCAGAGTCCAAAGACCTCACTCGGCGTCGCTGAGGAAGGCAAACCAGCGGGGAATAAGGAGAAAAGATCCGACAAAAATGGGGGAATGGTTTTCGCGAGAGAGAAGATTGGGGATCACATAGGGTGCTATTAGATATGGATATGGTTTGATTTATTTTTTGTTTTAGATACCTTTTCGAGAACTCAAATATTTTTTTTCCAGAAACTGTTTATAGAGAAAAAAACATTCTAGAAACTATTTATGGAACTCAATATTTTGTTCCAAAAACCGTTTCTGGAAAAAAGGGTTCTAGAAATTGTTTATGGAACTCACATATTTTTGTTTTAGAAACTATTCTGGAAAAAATGGGTATTAGAAACCGTTTCTGCGACTCATGTATTTTTGTTTAAAATTCGTTTCTTGGAAAAAATAATTTCTAGAAACTGTTTCTGGAACTCATATATTTTGTGTTCTAGAAACTATTTCTGAGACTCACATAATATTTCTGTTTCTCGGAGTTAAAAATTATTTTCAAGAGACTATTTGTATTAATATTTTTTTTTCAGATGGACGCTGACAAAGTGCAAACCGTTCACAACGGCAGATGGGTCTCCTCCTAGATCTGGAGTGAACCGGTGGAAATGAGCTCCGGTCTGTTTGAATCGTCTCCAAGTCGTCCGTGAGCCGCCGCGAACACCTGCAAGAACTCAACACCGGAAGTGTTTTTCGGTGAAGAGCCTCCGACGCTCAAGTCAGTGAGAGAGAAGAAGATGAGCTCTGCTCAGTAGGAGCAACCGCTGAATAATGACTAGAGAGAATGAAAGTTAGGGTTTGGAGTTACCTTAAACCCTTTATATAGGGGTAAAAGCCCATACTTGAAGTACCTGAAATGCCCTAGTCGGCTTACGCGAAGTATCCAAAATGCCCTGGTCGGTTCACATTCTACACACTCCTGAGTCAGCGTCTAGATTCCTTCTTATACTATGTGAAGTCACTTGGGGATCCTTCATATGCTGCATCTAAGTGTATCAAGTCGTTGGAGGTTTTCTAAGTCGACTTGGGACCTTGTCGAGTCGATTTGAGGTTACATATGTATCTGGGGCTTCTAGAGTGCCTGCTCGTCTTCTTTAATGAAGTCGTCTTGTACTCGGTCGACTTCCTAAAGTCGACTTGAGAACGTGGCCAGATCAATGGTCTTTGAACGACCGATGGGCCAAGCCGACATCGTAGATGTCGACTTAATGAAGTCGTCCGCAGTCTTTAGCCGGGTAACCATCATTTGAATCGGGCTATTATAATAAGGTTATATCATCTAGTCCCCCCCAAAAATTACTCTAAGCGACTTCGAGCTTAAGAGTAAATTTGGTAGTCATCTCGTCTCTATTCGCAGACCGTCATGTCGATTTGGTAGCCAGGTCCTTTGCTTTCTACTGATGAGTCGTCTCGTCTCTATTTTTGACTCGTCATGTCGACGATTTATTTCATTGGACTTAGTTTATAGTTGAAGCTTTCACTTAGAATTTTCCTGAAGCATGACCTTTTGTCCTCTTTCTTTGAATTTCAAATTTTTCGTGAGTGGGATGTGACTCGCCGCCTCCATCTACTTTTGCCGCTTCGAATTCCGTGCCTTATCTTGACCGTTGATTCTCTCTTTAATCGCAGGGCTAGGGCTTCATTAACCGCCCTATAAATATCTCTCATTTTCCTCTTTCTTCACTTTTCGCGATTATCTTTCCTTGAATTCTCGAATTTCTGGCAATCTAGCTTTTTGGTGTTTCCGGCGCTCATAACATCCAGTGACTTCTCAGACTCTTCTCAGAACTCTTTGCCCTAATCAACATGTGTAAGTTCCCCTTTTTATTTCTGCAAGATGTTATGTTAGCTTTCTGGGTTTTTGGTTTGGGATCTATGCATGTTCTTCGTGTTCTTAAGAAATTTTAGATGATTCTGGGTAACTTCCGATGTCAGATCTTTCATGTTTAGGTACAACCCCTTAGATTTGTTGTTTTTTTTTTTGGCGAATTGACTTGACTTAGAGTCTTTTTTCCTCTTCGCGTATCGTCATCAACTATGTCGATCTTTCTTTTAGTAGGTCGACCCTGACCTAAGATTTGGTCGTCCTGGGCTTGATTCCTTTACACTTTTCTTCCTCCTCGCCTCTCGACGCTCTCTTAATCTCTTCCTTATTAGTCTGTTCCATGATTCACTAACTTCGATCTTCCCCTCTTCTTTCTTTTTAGATTCCGATTCTGGCTCCTCTCTTGGTACCGTCGAGCGCTTGATCGACGAGGGCCCCCAATCGTCCGACTCAGTGCAAGTAGTGGGGTATAGAGTGGTTAGTGTATCCCCGCCATCTTCTTCTTCCCACGTCGTCGCTCCACGCGTCGACTGGGATGAGTACGAACAAGCCCT